TGAACAAGGGCAGGCGATGATGGAAAGAAACAAAGAAAATGCCGCCAAGAAGAAGTACCATCACCACTTGGGGTCAGGAGGCTATAGCGTCGCGATGCCGAAGTGGGAGGAGATGGAGGCTAGCTTGATTGAGAGGGGTATCGAACCGGCAACAGCCAATTGGCCGGAACGATCGAAGTTCTGGTACTATGCTCACGGTGGAACGCTCAACCCAGCTGATGGCTCACTGGTATTCGGCGTTCAGATACGAGAGGCTGCGCAACGACTAACAGATGCAGTGGAAGCCTCCTCTCAGGGCACGTTCCGACCCGACAGAGATAGGGACGAGCTGACACTCGCCCTGCAGACTCCAGAGCATCCAGGACGAACACGAGGGAAAGGGGTGATTCCTTGGAAGATTGGTTTCAAGGAGGACATCCACACGTACAGGAGTCGGATGAGGAGCAAGAGAGATACCGAGGCGAAGATTGCAGACCTAGAGTTCCGGGTATCGAGCTACGAACTCAACATGCAAGAGGAGGTGGCAAGGAAGGTTGATGAACGCATGGCCGCACATCGGTCCCATGATCCCCAGCCGACCATTCCTCCTGCAATGGTGAGCCCGTCAGGAAACCGTAGCAGCTGCGCCTCAACGGGGCAGGTAGGATCGCAGAGCATGGACGCCATGCAAACACAGGACGAATCGACCTGTCCCGTTGATGACATCACTCAGCGGACACCATGTGAGCTGCATATTCCTTTCAAGAACTTATCAATAAAGGTAAGATTTAGCCATTCCGCTAGTTCCTGCTTATATATGTTGATTACTAATAAATAATCTCTCACAACATGAAGGTGGCGTCGGGCATGGCCATCCCAACGGACCCTTCAGGTACTTACCACTGCAGGCCGATTCCAGCAGGATACTCGAAGGTCGAAGTTGAGTTGGTCGAAGGCGCGTACGAGGACCTCGAGCTGGATTACCCTGGAGGAGACGGTGAGACGCATCTACGAGACACAAGCCATGCCATTATTCTATGGCGCAGGCGGTACATCATCCTCCCTGGGCGACAAGCGGCATCTCGTGCACCATCTCCTCCGGCTCCGCCATCTCCTCCTCACGATCCTGCACCGTCTCCTCCTCATGCTCCGCCAGCACCGTCTCCACCTCAGGCTCCAGCATCGACTCCTCCTCAGGATCCTGCACCGACTCCTCCTCGTGCTCCTACACCTACTCCCCCGCAAGCTCCTCTTCCGGCACCTTCAAAGTCAAGGGCCCCCCCAGCTGCACCGCCTGCCCACACAAGGGCAACGAAGAAGGCGAAAGTTGACGCCGCCAAGAACAAGGACCCGGGGTACGATTGCACGCAAGAGGAGCTTGACGCTTACGTTGCATCAGAAGTCAAGAGACAATTCAAGCCTCGAAGTCCAGAAAAGAAGATTCCTATAGACCCCAGTGTCAGGAACTTCTTCAGGGGTATGTCTGCATCTGTCAAGGAGGCCATCAAGCTATCGGACTATGAGCGAACGCTGAAGAAAGCATCTTCTGGAAAGTCCAAACCAGTCCCTCAGCTTGGAGAGCAACCAAAACAGGAGATCGAGCCGTTGGTTACCGGTAAAGAAATGACGATAGAACAATTTATTACTGACACCGGTCTAACTACGGATCAATTGCTAGGAGTCGCACCAATCGAAAAGGCGGAAGTGAAATACATGTACGAACTCGGTAAACCGCTTGTCAAGCCTGAGCTGCTGCAGTCCCTACCCACACAAATGTACAAGTTCCATCAGCTGTACATGGAGATGAGCGCCGCCGGTAGAGAGATGATCGGAGCGAGGATCAGGGACACGGACTTCTTGCAAGGAGATGACATTCTCTGGATCAATTTCAAGGGAATCTACGAACTATACCAGCTGGACGCCCTCGACGTCTCTATTATGAGTTGCTGGATTTTGTAAGTATATCGTTCGGTTAGATTTCTTACTATACGTCTCCTTTAATAAATTAGGTCCTTGTATATAAGTAGACTATAGAAAATAATATACTCCCTTTTATCGTTGTAGAATGGAGATTCAAAGGGCCCGACGGCGGAGGGTTTTCGATACTGGATTCATCGACCCTCGGAGAGTAAACGTCGCAATGCTCGACCAATATCCACAAGAAACAGAGGACAATCTCGTCCATCTCCTGAAGGCGCAGCATTACAAGACGTTCATACTGTTGCCATACAACACAGAGTTAGTTTAATTTTACTGTCTTCCTACATACCAAATTTCATTCCCGTACGAACTTGCTAAGTGTTTCATATGTAATGCATCCCACGCACATTGCAGATTCCACTGGGTGCTTTTACTCTTCGACCTGGAGGCCTGCACCGTCAACGTATATGACTCAATGGATAAAAAAGAGTCTACGTTTGACAAGGTTTTCGAACTTATAGACAGGTACCGTCATAAGTTCCTTTGTTAATTAAGAAAATCTTGTTATGTTAATTGCTACTACGAATCATAGCTTTAAACTCCATGTAGGGCTTGGTATCGGTTCCGTCATTTGGTCCGCGGCAAATGGAGAGAAAGACTTAGGCGGAAGTTCAAATTTCCTGTGAGTACACATGCTCTATATTTATATTTCTCCGATTCAAATACATACAAGTGTATATTAATTAGATCTCTCGTTGTTTGTCATTTATTTGTAGTGCGCAAAGCAAAAGCAGGGAACTAACTTGTGCGGCTATTACGTGTGCGAGTATTGCCACTGCCTTGCAAACCAAATCATCACCACAAGAGAGCTCGATGTACGTACAAATAAATTCAAAATTTCATTACGTAGCGATTTCTTGTTTAATTACTAATCAATTTCATACATTCATATAGTTTATTCGCATGAGGGATAACCTGACCACACACAAGGAATTTATCACGGCGGTTCAAGAACAACTCATGGGATTCATCAACGAAGAAATCCTTAATCCCAAGGGTGAATTCTACTACGACGGAAACACAATTCACCGGTCCTTAGCTTCTGAGCTAGCAGCGAGTACTACTACGTCGAAATGATAGCTAGCTAGCTAGGACATATAATGGATTGTAATTAATACATGACTACATATGTTTCTATATGCATGTGTACACATTTTCTATAATGTAAATATATTTTGGTCATATATATATATCTATATACATATGCATTAATTTGCATAACATATATATGTGTATAAATACATATATATTATGCATGTATATACATATAATATAATATAATATATATATATATATACATATATATATATGTATGCATATATATGTATTGAAACATATATATGCATGGTATATATATATATATATATATAAACTATATATATATATAAACCATGCAGCAACAGGGCCATGCAAAACAAAAAATGGTCAGCTCGATCTTTAGTCCCGGAGTGGTACTCCCGGTTGGAAACCGGGACAAAGGGGGTTACGAACCGGGACTACAAAGGGTTTCTCCACCAGTGGAAGGTCCAGTGAAGAGCTGTCAAATTACATCATCTACCTTATTGTCAAGTGCAATGTGATGCTTGGAAGTGACGGGCATTATGTGGTCAAAGTTGCACGACGCGATGTGAAGCTGTTTCTGGGAATGGTTGTTAGCCGGAGGGAGTTCGTCCAGAAAGTCCGCGATGGCGACCCAAATGTGAACCTTAAGGAATTCCCTGCACTTGATCGAGCACACCGTGTGTCCTCAAAGCTGTTTAAGATGAACGCACACGACAGGTGGAGACTCATCTCGTTGGTATGTGTGGAGATGATTTGCTACGTCGCGCAAAATTGTGTGGCTGGATTCCATGCCAAGCATCTCAGCACCGGCGGGGAGTTTATCACCCATGTCAAGATGCTCTTGTTTATCATAGGCTTGCCTTTGCGTCGACATACTAAGGAACAGCTATTTCCTTCAGAAGAGATAGAAGAGAGGAAGTTCCTCAGGCGTTCTCATCCATGGAGACGAGGATAAAATCATTCACTGGAGAGAGAGGGAGACTTTCTACCATGCTTGGCATATATTAGAGCCGTTGATTGCTCTTAATCTAACGAACTAAGAAAGAAGGTACCGGTGCAAAGGTACATAAGAGCGTGGGCCAGGTATAAAAGCTAGAAGGTTATAATGGTAATTGTCTTTTATCATCACTTTGAATCATCTTAAGGTCAAGGACTAATCAGTACATTGCAGGCTTTGTTAATTATTTCTGCGTTGTTATGATCATCTTATAGTAGCGCATGATTTTGCTAGGGTATTTAAAATCATTTCATTTGGAGGTGGAAGAAAAGAAGCGAGCTGGGTTAGGACCTAAAACTGAGTGATTTACTTTCATCATAGTTACCGGTGATGGTGAAGGAAGATGGATTAAATAAATCTCTACCTCACGCTCACGTACGTATGGATTAGAAGAGGGGAATCTTTACAAAGAATCAAATTTTAGATTAGATGAGAATATTAGTTTTAGATTAGCGGTAGGTGTCCGTACATATACGTATATAGACGGCAAAATTGATAAAATAAGGTGCTCAAGCAATGAGCTTGAGACGAGAATTACAAGCAGCAGATCATGGCGAGAAGAGGAGTTAGATGGAGGGTAGCGGTAAAATAGGATCGAGTTGAGAAGTTAGTTAGGGATGGTTTGGCTTAAACAATTACTAAACTGACCTTGTTTACATTATTTTTTCCTAAGTTACCCCTCAAAAAATGAACGGTGGATGTGAAGAATGTCGGGAGGTACTGGACATACCTCCCAAGCTGCGCACCGTAAATGGTTGGGAGGAAAACCATTAACTCTATGCACTGGATCGAGGGCAAATATAAGTATACGTAATTTCAAATTGGTATTAACTTACACCACAACACATGATGATTTCAAAATCATAGATGAGTAAAAGGCCCCGTAATTGGTTCTTATATGTATTGCATGCATGGCTGATCATAAATTTGTATAACTAATCATGCTGTCGAATGAATTGCTTCACTAAGCACTCTGCATTCTTTAGACAGAAGCCATGTAATCCTTTTTTATCTTCGCCAGTCTCACAACCACTTCGCTCATTGTCATTCTTTGGTCTGGTAATTCATGTGAGCATAGTAATCCCAACTCAAAAACTGGGACTATAAAGTTATTCAATGAACTAGAAGAATCTTGCACCAGTAACTGGTTATCCACCACATCCATGACATTTGATGGAAATGCACTAGTAACCCACTGCCTTAGAGATAGTTCTCCAACAAACATGGGATCAGTTGGCCTCTTTCCAGTGAATAACTCCAGAAGCATAATACCGTAGCTGAATGCATCGCTTTTCCGTGATGCTTTCCCAACTGACCCATACTCTGGCAATATTTTTTTCCAAACAGGAGAGGAATAAATTAGTAATAAAACTAATAATTGAATAAAAACGAGACAAATTAAAGAACATACTAGAAATACCTGGTGCCATATAACCAACTGTTCCAGGCATACTTGCAGAAATAACAGAGTTGTCGTCACCACATAACAGTTTTGCAATCCCGAAATCGGCCACCAATGCAACCATGTCTTGGTCGAATAGGACATTGCTAGGCTTCAAGTCGCAGTGTAGGACTACCTCACAGTGATGATAGTGAAGATACTCCATTGCCATAGACACATCCAACAGAATGTCCAGTCTCTGAAGGAATCCCAGTTGCTCTCCACCTTCAGAGTGTAGCTGTGTTTCTAAGCTTCCGTTGGGCATGTAGGGAAGAACCAAAGCTCTGAAATCCAGGCTAGAACATGTGGTGAGTATCCTAATCAAGTTGCGATGCCGGGCCATGCGCAGGGCATGACACTCCGAATCGAAGCTTCTCACAGCTTGTTCCAGCTCCATGTTGAGAACTTTTATTGCCACCATAGTACCGTCGTTCAGTTGGCCCTTGAAAACTTTTCCAAAGCTTCCAGCCCCCAAGAAGTTAGTCTCACTAAAATTATCCGTGGCTCGGACAATGTCATGGTAAGAGATCAACCTGTTGTTGAGCACATCTTCCATATCAGGAGAAATGATTCTATCTTCTTGCTTGGCTTTCTTCCTCATCATCATGTACATGCATGTGGATATAACTCATCTCGTACCTCCCAACTCATCATGTACATGCATGTGGATATAACTCATATCTGAACCGGTTGTTTGGTAGGATCCCTGACTCCTTTGGACAGTTTCTAATGACAACATATCTGAACCTATCACGCAACTCATCTCGTTGGTATGTGTGGAGATGATTTGCTACGTCGCGCAAAATTGTGGGGCTGGATTCCATGCCAAGCATCTCAGCACCGGCGGGGAGTTTGTCACCCATGTCAAGATGCTCTTGTTTATCATAGGCTTCCCTTTGCATCGACATACTATGGAACAGCTATTTCCTTCAGAAGAGATAGAAGAGAGGAAGTTCCTCAGGCGTTCTCATCCATGGAGATGAGGATAAAATCATTCACTGGAGAGGGAGGACTTGCAACACCCGAGGCATTTGAGGTTACCAACAAATATTCAAATATTCCATTAATTATGAACACTATTAATATGCACAATTGGAAAATTTTGATCCCCAATGACAGGAATAGGAAGCTTGAACACCCCTTTTTGATGACCTTTGTTAACAATGGCTTGCAAAATATCTGTACCAATAGCAAAAAGCAGAGGAGACAGAGGATCTCCCTGCCTAACACCCCTTTTGCAAGGGAAAAACTTTCCTAGTACCCCATTAAGAAGAATAGAAGTTGAAGCTGAACTGAATAAGATCTGAACCCACTCAATCCATTTGGGAGGGAATCCCATTGAAGTCATAATCTGAAGGACTGCAGGGTGCTCTATCATGTCAAAAGCCTTTTCAAAATCTAGCTTTAAGACTACAATTCCTCTCTTAGACGGCTTACATTGATGCAGATATTCAAAAGCCCAGCCCAAACAATCTTGAATTGTCTTAGTTTTGATAAACCCATATTGATTTTGGTGGATCAACTGAACCATTTTCCCTTGCAGTCTATTTGCCATGGCCTCTGAAATAATTTTTACTGAACTATTCATGAAGGAGATTGTTCTATAGTCACTTGCAAACATATCTCCATAATTCTTACAGTATCTCCCGTTGACCCTAAGAAACTCGCAGGTATAATATCCACATAGCATTGTTGATGTAAAAACACGAGGCCTGAGAGATCTGCTTAACTCCAGTGCAGGTCCAAAAGCTTGCCTTTGGGTGCCAATTGATTTGATCCTGCAGTCAACAAGATAAAGACAAGGAAACCGCGGTTAAATCCATAAATGATAGCCGATCGGCTAGTTGCCGATGACATATCATTTATCTGTGAGCCGATGTCATATTTGAATCGATCGGCAAATATAAATAAGGAAGGACTAAATCTACTCGATCGGCTGTAGACATTAACAATATATAATTTTTATGTCGATATATACTTAAACCAAGTGATTGGGATAGATCGGTCGCCATGCCGAGACAGTATAAATCACTTAGGTCGAAGTATATATTAACAATGAGATTATAGATGTTCATAGCATAGCCGATCAGATAGATCTAGCATGCATCGGCTAATACTCTGATATCACTCTATATTAAGATATTAAAGCAAGTAAAATACATCAAACATTAGCCTAACATACTTTATTGTAATGAGATCTTAACATAAAGGGTGGATCTAGCATGTCAATCAATCATATGAAATATAAAGCTAAATCAGGTAAGATCGGCTGAAACCCCGATACTACCCTAATCGGCAACCAAAAAGCAGGCTAGAGATTGAGATTCTAATCACGACTTATAAGATCAAACCTAACTGATGCAGCTATAAGTATGAAAAGAAAGACAATATCTAGAACAATCAAACCGTTGGATGTTTCATAGAGTGGTAGATATCCTATATAATCTAAGTCAATGTTGGTATTTAACCTGATCGGCTGCCCTCTAGCAACAGATTTTGGCCGATTGAAGGTTAAATAACAATATTGCCTAAGATTATATAGAATATATAATAACTTGACGAATTACGTAAACAAGATTAGATTATCATAAAGATGGAAGCACTAATCCCGAGAATACAAGCCGCCATAACAAGTTTTACCTCTGGTTGAAGATCGAAACCGATGCAGCTCAACCTGAAAGCAAGAACTCGTCGAAATAAAATGAAAGTAAAAAGGGTGGCGATGCGCCGAGATTGTATTGAAAGTGTGTTAGATTGATTACATGGGGCTCGGGGTCTATTTATACCCGAGATTACAAAATATGTCCGTGTCACATTGTCGGATTCGGCTCAATCGACTAACCTTGTCCAACTCGGACTCTGCTGATCACGATCGCAGCCGATTCGGACTTTAGCCGATCCTTGCCCTGTTTCCGAAACGATTTCCATCTTATATTCCGCTTCAGTTTTATCTTTGTCTTCGATACAGAAATTACCAAATTTGGTTGTTAACACATGTCCCCCAAGTCCGGAATATTTGGTAATGTTTCGGATTTGCCATATCTCATCTCCGAAAAAATATCGCACTTGCCGTTTTTCCGACCGTTATCGTTCTGCTTTAAATACTAACCGTTGTCCCCGAGAAACTTCACACCGTTACTTCCGTTTTCACCGCTTAAGCCAAACTCATTTTCTCTCTCTCCGGTGATCCCCTCGGTGCACTTCCGCCTGTGGCAATGTCAACTTCCGCCAGCCCATCCGCCGCGCCATCGGCCGAGTACGCAGAGGTAAGTATCCATCGGCTAGATCCCACTTTCTCATGTTGTAGATCGGTTTCTTCTTGTTCTCATCTTGTTTTCTTCTTCTCTATTCTTATTTGCATCTGTAGCACTTATCCAACCTGGTCGCGATCCCGAGTCTGTCACATGAGCATCACTATTTCCTTGGTCCGATCGGCAATCTTGATCCCACCGAGTTCATCATCGCCGAAACCAATAGGATCCCTTTTAGATTGGCCAACCCAAATCTAGGTCACTGGAAAAACACTTTCAAATCTTGGCCTTCTCTTGAAAAAACTACTCAGAAAAGTTGGTCTGTGTGGTACAAACGGGTATCGGCTAGCAAACAGGGCTATTGGGACAAAATTGGAATCGGCCAGGCACTCGCCCTTACCATAGCAAATTCGGCTAAAGATGAACCCCTGATGGCCGCCGCCACCTATTTTTGGTCCAACACCATCAATGCTTTCCTTTTCAACCAAGGGCCGATGACCCCCACTTTACTTGACATCACCATGATCACCGGTTTGGATGTGACCTCATCGGCTAACCCCATGAGCTTGAACACTAAGAATCAATTTGACTTCATAACTAAGAGCATAGGTGGCTGGTCTGGGTATGTAGCAGTATATATGGGCAAAGGACCTGTCACCTCCCGAGAACATGTGGCCTTCCTACTGATGTGGCTTGAGAAATTCCTTTTTTGTGGATCAAGTTGCGGCCCCACAACCAACTGGCTGTTTTTAGCTGAAGCCCTAGAAACAAAGAGGCAATTTCCTTTAGGCAAGATCCTCCTCGGCTACTTGTATCAAATGCTAAACAATGCATCGCCCAAGATTGCTGATGGCTTAGTCGTTGGTGCAGGTGGGCCATGGTGGTTGCTGCAAACCTGGCTAAACCTGGTAGCCATGAAAGCTGTCAATCGGCCAGCTATGACACAAGCTGAGTTTCCAAGATTAGAGCCGATTACATATGACGATGGGGAAGAACGCACCCACCGCAGGTGTATGTCCTATGGGGAATATGCATCCACACCAGCCGATTTTGGAGCAAAGTTATCGGTTGAGTTACTGAAGGACTGGTTCTTCAGTTTCTATGATAGATTTCAGAAAGATGATAGGGTTTGGTTCCCTTACGAAGACTCAGTGAATTTCGACCTCCCAGCAGACTTTAGATTTGAGGATATCAACCATGAGAGATATCAAAAGTCCAGAGAAGTTTTTGTTGCTGCTATTAGCCCATGCATCCTCCCTATCGGCATCCATCAAGGAAGGAATATTCAAGTCTCCTATGAGTTCTATCATCCGATGAGCTCAGCTAGGCAATTTGGAATGGGCCAACTCCCAATCGGCTTATATTTTGCCGATAAGATCCAATGCAGAGGAGATATATCTTCAACCTTTATGATGGATCGGCTACTCAACATCCCAGGACCTCCATTGGGCAGCATTGAAAATATAGAGTTGGCAAGGTTCAGGAGCAGAAATTTTGACAGATGATGGGGTGAATGGAAGCAACACATATTCCATGTACATGACAGACTTGTTCCCAGATGTCATTCCTCAGGTACATCTTCACTCTTGTCAATTCTATTTAAACAATTGTTAGCCGATTTGAATCTTGACTAACTTTTCTCTTTACCTTGCAGACAACAGAATCTTGCCCTCCTCGTAAAAGTAATAGTGGCAGGGACATAGAATATGCTCCAGGCCTTTTGCCAAATGGTGGTGGATTGACCCCTCTAGTCATCGGCTATCATGCCCCCAAGACCTTAAGTCTGCTTCAAGGGCAGATGAGAGAACCAGCCGATGTCGGTAGGAAGAGAAAAACCAAGGTACCAGCAATTGATCCATCGGCTCTGGCTCCTAAAAGAAAGCCAAAAAGTATAAGCCCAAGCCAGCTGATCACTTGCCAGCCTTAGATCCATCCATCGAGCAAGCTCTGGATGAAGAAGAAATCGGGGAAGATGTCGATCAAGCAGCAGCCGAGTTGAGTGAAGGAGAAAAAACACCATCAGCTTCGCCCAAGCGAACTCCCCCCACTCATGCTGCTCCAGCTCATTTTTCAAGGGTACACATCTCTCCTTGATTTCCTCTTGCCATTGTTTTATTCATAGCCAATTACTTATAAATCTCGTTTTTGCAGAAAAAGAAGACTGCTGTGAGGAAGAAATTGGCAGCAACAACACTTAAACCAGCTCCACCGGTAAGATTGTCCTGTATAAATTCTTTCTCTTATCCGATCATAGCTGATATTTACTTAACGCTTGTCTTTTTGCAGCCTCCTCCTCCTCCTTCACCACCTGTGCAGCAA